TAATGTACATAAAAACCAGCTTCTTGTTTAAGTGAAAATAAATGGAAGGTTGTCTTTTTGAGCTAGTAATGTTGTGGAGTTGTAATTTGTCTCGCATCAATTATATCGTCAGTTATATCGTTATCGCAAATTTTCAAATATATATCGTGATAAATATTTTTGGCCATATCGCCCTGCTCTATGTCACAAAACCAACACCAACACAGAATATTGAATTGAATTTATTTTATTTGATATGCCTTCAGCTGACACACAACTCCACACAGTACTGCTGCAGACAGGCGGGGACACAGCCCCTCCCCTCACTAGCAGCTGAACACATAAACAGCAGCGCAACAAACTCGGCAAAGCATGTTAAGGACTGATGCCCCAGTTTTTATAAGAAATTTGTTGAGGGCCATTACAGCTCCCGTTTTACTATTAGTGGTTTAACTATTAGCAATATTGTATACTGGCTATCGGCTAATAATTAAACAAAAACATTTATGCTAGAGAAAGACGGAGTTCAGCCCAACTGCAATATTAACATGAAGTCTCTATTTAACAAGATAACATGATTATTTGTGTCTAAAAAAGTTTTTCTTGACTCTGACAAAAGTCAACCAACAACTAGATAGAAACAGTGGCACTCTACATCAACGACTCTATGTTATCAAGAATGAAAATGAGTCAAGTCACCAGAAGCCCAGGAAACAAACAGGATTCGCACAGACCGGTATTATTGTAATCCTCGTTTTTTTAAAAATATGCCTCTTTCTTTCATCTTTTTTCCCCACATGGAAAATGATAGGGAGTATGCAGTCGGCCCTCTGATCACTGCTTACAGCTACATTTCCTCTTCTCATTTCATGTGCTGAGTCAGGTCTCTCTTGCAAATGAGAACTTGGTCTCAGTGAGTTTACCTACCTAAGTAAAGCATATATCAGCTATATAAACTCTGTAAGAGGTTCACTTGCACCAACAGCTCTTAAATTCAAAGGTTCATAATACAGATAAGATGAAATACAGTAAAATAAACAGTTATTTGTATATAATGAAGGTATACATATTTATTAATTTGCAGTTTCTGATACTTTCTTGATGTCATCAAGCATTAAGGGTGAAGATGGAAATAAATACGTCTGAGGCTTCTATTTATAAAAGATTAAAAACAGAAAGCTCCTCTCAGGAAAAAAATAACAGAAAAAAACCGCAATCAGACAGACCAGAGACTTATTTTTGTGACATCTGATTATTAAAGGAACACCTTCCACTGAGACGGCTTGCGTTATAATTAACTATAGCATTAATTAATTGTAAATTTATGCCTAAGTGAATGCATTAGCTGTCATCAACTGATGATATCACATGACTAGTGCAATCATGTATTCATTAGCATTCGTGGCCGTTAGTGAAAATCTTTGTTTTGTTAGCTTCAAATGAAGATTTAGAAATCTTCCTGCAACATCAGGTTAGGTTGATTTGCTGATAAAGTCCCACCCACCACAAAACTGACATTTAATCGTTTAGAATAGACCTGGTGTAAATGACCTTAAATTTGGTAAATATTTTTACGTTTGTTTGAAAGGCACTTCGGTTTTATTTTGAAATCCATGCTTTTATTTTGAAACAGGAAACTGGCACAAAACCGTTAAAGGGCTGTTAGTAACGTTTCTTTTAGGATATGGTAAAATAGTTTGCCTTAAAGTGAAAAATATGTACGTTTACTTTGCCAATTAGTACCTGGCTGACAGTGGCACAAGGTTTGTTAATGTTTCCTTTAACGGAATAAGTTACATGCAATCAAAATGTCGTTTAATAGAGTTTATGTTGTTAACCTTGACCTTGACCTTTATGTGTAGTTGTAAGTTAGTGAGGTGATATAATGAATTGAGTGAGGTAAATTTGATGTATATGCTATATGTAGCAGGAGTTTCCTTTGATGTTATGGTATTAATATTGCTGGTTTTGTTTTGCTCCTAGCTCTTACGGTGTCTTCACTGAATGTTTCAATAAAAACATTTCCAATAAAACCTCTGTGAAGCATCAGTATAAGAGACCATCATTCAGCCAGGGATGCTACACCTGGAGTCGAGTCAAGATCAAGATAAGCTATTAATAATAATGTTTTGTACATTTTATGGGTTTATTTTCCCCACCTCACAAATTTCACACTGAATTTGAGTGCAAACTTAAAAAAAAAAATGTCCTAATTTATTCCCGCCTCCTGTGTGGCTGCAGAAGTGTTCAAACTTGCTGTGTTTTGGCAGTCTGTCAGTCTGGAGTCTGTATAAGTTGCATAGTGTACAGAGTGCAGTGCGCTAGGGCTCAGCTGGTTGAATATACAGTCATCCTTTAATCTTGCTATGAAGGACCGGATGACACATGGTCTCCATGTGAATGTGCAGAGAAAAAAAGCCATTGATCATACACCCGTACACAATACGTCCTCACCATCAGTACTTTTAACTCTTCCTTAATTAAGGGGGGGGAAGAGATTGACAAAGGCACCACAAATGCGACTTTTTTTAACGTAAACAGTTTGATAATGTTCCCGTCTTCTTAATGGGCTTTTCCCAATTGTCGAAACAGTGTGATCAAAGCACATCCGCGGGAACAATTGCTAAAACACAAACACACATAAAAGCACACAAGCATGCACCAAAGAGAAACACTGGACTGTTGTTCAGTTTTATGAGCTAATATGAATATGGTACGTGAGCTTGCCCGAGGCCCTGGATGTGTGCGCTTTTGTGTGTGCATGTGAGTGTGAGCGTGGCTCTGCCGATGCGGTCTAATGCTGTGTGACTGGGGCCAGTGCTGTCAGCAGAGCAGAGACATGGACGCAGCACAAGTGCCTCCTTGCATAAACGCAGGGATGCTCATCCTCCTTTCTCACTATCTGACATTTAAAGGTCCAATCCGCAATTCTGGAAGCTCATCAATTATGGGTTCACACACCACCAACCAAGGAGAAATGCTAGTGCTTGCTGTGCAGTGCTCAGGTGCTAAAGTGCTAATATTTAGGAAATTCAGCCAAAGAAACGAAGGATGAACAAACCACGGATGATCAGAGGTTAAAAAATGATTTTAACTTTTAAGATTTCATGTAAATGTGGAGTTTTTTTTTTTTTTTTCAATCGTGGTTATTTTTAGCGGGCTGTTAACAGGCATGAGTGTCACAGTTTGCTGGTGAAAACAAAGTAGGAATGACAGATGAAAACAACAAGGAAATGCATTACAATCCCTAAGCCTGTCTGAGCACGTGTGTCTGTCTATGAGAGGATCTGTACACAGTGTTTAGGACAAACAAAGCTATTGAGTTTCTCAGATATTGTTTAGAATCACATATTGTCAATTCTTTCCATTATGGGCCATCACAACAATCATCAACAAGTCATTGCCATCTACATTTGATGATTTGTAAATGTCATTAAATGCATATTTGTTAATCCAACTGTCAGTCAAAGCAGAAATGCCTTAAATCATACTCTGCTTGTGTATTTGGTTTTAAAATTAGACATCATTTAAAAAACAAACGTTATATTTAAGGAGACTTGGAACTAGTGAATGAGACCATCAAGCTTCGACTGAGATCAAGGGAACCAAACTGGTCTGTTCCTTGGACTTCTGTGCAATCTGACTTCTTTTTGAAAACAGAGGTGTCACCTCTGGCTAGCCGTTACAAAGAATCCAAATTTAAGGTGCTTCCTCTTTGGATTCACTTTTCACAGCAACAACCCCATTCGTACCTATCAAGGATGTCACAATACAAGAATTTCAAACTTGATACCAGTGCCAGTTGATACAGAGGAAAATTGATACTGATATCAATTGATAGAAAAAATAAAAAAGTAAGAGAAATCTTTTTGTTTTAAATTTTTTAGAGCAAGATTGGAACAATAGCCAAGCAGCCGTGACTAAGGAAAGTATGAAGTAGGTTCCAGGGTCCTTCTGTGCCACAAACGATTATGCTTGTGGTTAATATTTACATTTTAACCACCTAGCTTAATTGTCTCTTATGTTTTCCTGCCATTATTTTCATATTGACTTAACATAAAACATTCACAGCTGCTGGTACTGCAGCTTGCTGCAGCTTCTGCATGCCGGTGGGCCACGATACTGGGTTGTGCTGGGGGTTGCCGACTGGTATCTAACCCTGTGGTCTCTAACCCTATGTAGACAAGCTTATTGAAGGGGTCAAACCAGCATTTGCTCATATCTTCCTTTTGTTTGTTTTCCCCAAATTTTACAGGAATTGCTTTGATTTTCTTGATATAACAACAGTTTTAGCCCCCCCACCAAACTTCAAAATAGGAAGATGCAATTGTACCAACATTGCTCGTCTTCTCTAAATAACAAAAATGCACTGCAGTACTTATTTAAGAAAACCAAGCCTGTTTTTCCCCCAATTAAAAATTCTATAGGTACATCTGAAGATGATGCCTGTATTCCTGCTATTCGTTAATATTATAAATGCACCATAGAAGGACTCTGGGTTCAAATGTGACAGTGTATGAGATATGAAGAACAAATACCACCAACATTAATTTCCATTTTTGAAGCAGCGTGTCTGTTTGGTTATCTTGTTTTCACTGGTCTTAATGTGACAATTCATTTCAATCAGTAACAGAAAAGAATGAAGTTCTGATAGAGAGCCTGTGTGTTAACAGTTTGCCTAAACATAAAACCCTTCTTTGAAGTGAGAAGAAATGGACTTCTCATCCTGCTCTTAATGTCCGTCTACTGAGGCAAATTGCTGTTGGATTGCACACTGGGCCTTTAAAAACCACTGGACCAGTTGCCAAATTGAACCCCTGCTATCAAGTGAGTGAGGAGTGTGTATGTGTGCCGTTTAATCTGTAGGAAGGAAGCGGCTGGTTTGTGTGTGAAGATGATCTGGTTCCCCTCACTCACACTGGGAGCAGAGAACAGTGACGAATACGACCCCTGACATATGCAAATGTCTACTGATTCACACAGGCGAGGCAGAGTGTGTGTGTCCATGTGTAGTGCATGCAAGCTGTGTTTGCACAGTACCAAATCTGCCTGCATGTGGTGGATGTTTGTCTGCGGTTGTGTCTGTTTGCCTGTAGAATTTAAAATCCACCTGTACACGTGCATGAGAGAGTGCATATATATATGTGTCTGTGGATTTGTGTTAGGTCTGCTGGGAGCTGTTGCACTGATCTGTTTGTGTGCACATGTGTGTCACAGAGAGAGTGATAAGAGACAAGCTTACTTGGATCTGACTTGGAGAACGTGTCTCTATCCAGCAGGTTCCTAAAGAAAAGAGAAAGACAGAGAGAGAAAGAAAACAAAGACTTCCATTAACGTAAAAAATTAATTACTCAGCTGTCCTACTTCAACAAATAAAGAGCAACTACAAATTTATTACATCATTAAATTTTCCTTAATTAGCTCCCATTCTGACCCCGACAACTGGTTTTCTCAGAATCCTCCGACGACTTGATTAACAAAAGCCATTTCACCCAGTCACACTGCAGCGGTACAAATCAAGCTTGAAGTGCAGCCCATTTATATTTTAAACATACAGGAAAAACAGCAGAAAAGAAGATGCATTTTTCACTTTTTTGCACTCTCCCGGAGTGCCAGAAGCAACTGTGGAAGCTGCCATCAAATTTACATGACATTCCCAGCACTGCACGGGCACGGATAAATGCACCGAAGAGCTCCATCACGAAGCAGATGCTCGGCGCTTCTGAGATATCCCACAGTAAGACAGCTCTGAAGGAATTAAATATTCAAATGAAGATGACAAGTTGCAGATGCCTAAGACCTGTGTATGAGGAAATCAAGAAGCAGCTCGAGCTCAGAATAAGGATAGGGAGACCTGGCGTGTTACGTCAGCAGAGGTGGAGCATTTGTGGTTTTAACTGTGTGTCAGTTGCTTCACAGTGCCCTGAGGTCTCAGGAGGAGGTAGTCAGAAGTCCAACAACAACCCAAGGGGCTAAAACAAACCCTTCGCTTATTCCCTCAGCTTGTACTCCTGCCAAATGTTACATTAGAACTTCATAAAGCTTTCATTGAGCAAACCAGAAAGGCTAAATAGTACGAGTAGCCTGGTCAACAGTATTTTACAGCACCACCCAGTTTCCAGTGTCTTGCACTAAATGTAACTCAGATTCTTGGTAATGCGTAAGTTTACTTGGCTTTTTATGAACAATATTTTCAGAATAAAGTCAAGTTATTATGCAAAAGTCTTTGTGTAGAGCTCTCTTACAGCGTGTTGTGATACAACATACTGCATCTTTACGGCATGAGGCTGTAATCGTCGCATCAAAGCATTTCTGACTTTGCACAAAAGAGAAATATTTCCTTATTACTAAAACCAAATTTGAAGTATTTTGTAGCATTTCACAGAGAGTATAACAGCCGTGGGAACAACAACTTGATCCCCACATTTCGACTTTTTGGTATATTGAATTTATTTACAGAAAAACCTTTTGAGTTTGATCTCAAAATTTCGACTCTATTCTCAAACTGGACAATTTTTTTGCATAATGTGGCCTCAATACTCGCATGATCAGAAGAAAAAACCCCACAAATGTACAATCTAAAACCAAGAATCAGTGTAGCAAAGAGACATAGACAGATTAACACTTTTGTCTATAGCAAACAACCGGGTTTGTTGGATGGGATTATGTTATCTGCATTTTAAAAGAAAAACATAGTTTAAAAATCAATAATAGCTTGTAATTAGCAGAGAATTAGAGCAATGAAATACTACACATTTCTAAAGTGTGGGGACTGGCAAATATACAATAGGAGACAAAAATAAATACAAAACAAGTCACACCTACAGACAGATTTAAAAGGATGATGAGCTCAAGCGTTTGTGCTGTCTCAGGCTGTGAAAAGAAAAAAAAAGAAGTTTTTAACAGGCTTTTGAGGTCATGATCCACTATGAAATGGTCATCACTGAAATCTATTATTACTGACAAGAACTAAAGCTGAACTGAGTCATAGCATGATTGTTGAGGTCAACTGTAACGTGTGCGTAAGAAACAAAAATCAGATTTAGACTCTTTAAAAGAAGGCTGTGTGGTGTATGAATTTAAACTGTGATAATCACAGCAGCACGACTTTGTCCATATTGTGCACGGCTCACAGGGAACAAAAGTTGAAGGCCTAGCTGCGGGGTAAGCACTCAGTCGCCCATCCTGTCCTGTGTGACAAGCAGCGAGTGACTTGAAGCCATTGATGGCTAGTGATGTATCTAGATCAGGCACTCGTGTTGTGCTAATCCCACTGCTACCCAGATGGTAAAACGCTACGCTCTGCTGCTTCTCTGTCAGGGCACGCCCACTGGCCCTTTGAGAGCTTTGAGATGTTAAATAAATGATAATAAGCGATGGAACTGAGCCTAGTCATATCGGGGATGTATTTTATGACTGGCAGATAGTCTGGAAGATTGCGTAGGAGTGAGAAGTGGGCAACTTCACCTGCCAAATGAGATAAATGTCCAATAAAGAGGATAGTATACCCGATTGTCTCCCAGAGGAGTACGCGTGGAGGCAGGAAACAAGATGCAGTGAAGAAAAAAAAGCAGCAGAAAAAAACAGAGTGTCTCAAGAGTCTAAAGACAGCACCAAGTGGTGTGTGTGTGTGTGTGTGTGTGTGTGTGTGTGTGTGTGTGTGTGTGTGTGTGTGTGTGTGTGTGTGGAGAACGCCTGGAAACCAACCACAGAAGTGTCAGCGATCAATATCAGTGATCAGGAATTAATTACTGATCAATACCAGTGAGTGATTACTGATTAGTTCCAGTAATGAGCAGGCAGTTGGTCGTTTCCATGGTCCCTCCGTCTGAATCAATGGGCCTCTGTCTGCGAGTGGGCGGGAGAAGA